CCCCGGTGGGTGCTGGGCCGGGGTTGCCCCGGGTCCTGCCGTTTGGGCTGCCCAGCACTTCCCTCTGCCACGGGCAACAGGAGGGGGCTGGTGCCGGGTCCTGCGGCAGCAATGCCGAGCGAAGGCTCTGCTCCTGCCCTGAGAGTCAGTTGACTTTTCTTTTTTGGGGTGTTGGCATCTGAACGGGGCATCCTCTGGGCTTGCAGGTGCCTCCTGCTCCAAGACTTGCCCTCATCCCTCACAGACACAGATCCACCTGTGTACAACAGAAGCAAGGTGCCAGGGTTCTGCTCAGGGCAGAGGGGTGCCAGCCATGGGCTTTGGTGGGGGCTCGACAGCATGAAGAGCCTCTGAGATCTTCAAAGAGATCTAATCCAAGAAAATTAGTATTCTCGTTTGCACACTGTGCTTATGGGCTGACTCAGCCTCTAAACTCTGTTCCCACCTGGTGCCAGGGGAAAGTTTCCTCTTGCTGGTCGGATGATGAACATTGGCCCTGTGACCCTCCCTGAAGCAGCAGGAGGGAGATGTTCCTGCTCTGCCACGGTGCCAAGTCCTGCAGGCACTACATGCTGAGGAGGGCAGGTCTGTCCCACCAGAGCAGGTCTGGGGGCTCTGAGGCAGCACAAGGACCGAGGCAGTTGAGACTGGCTGGAGATGGAGACCCCAGCAGTGACAGCCCCACACAGTGAGAGGCTGGAGAGGTGCAGGGAGCTGAGTGCATCCAGTTCTGAGTCATTCTGGGTCTGTCAGGGCATTTTGGGGTGTTTTATGGTGCTGGGGGTTGGCAGTGTCCTGCTCTTTCAGCACATGCCTGATGCCTGGAGAGCAAAGGGGAAAACAAGATGGGGGGGCAGAGCCCTGCTGGCACGTGCAGGGAGAAGCTCAGAGGTGTGGGTGCAAACCTGAAAGCTGAGTGCAGGAGGAGGAGGAGGGGGCTGTGCTGTGCAGCTGCTGTCCCCACTGGGCCTGCTGCCTCCCCATCCCTGCTTGTGGCAGCCGTTCTCAGCCTCCCCTTCACCCGCAGTTCCTAAAGCAACGGGAGCAGGCGGTGCTCCCTCAGATGCGGTGTCTCCTGCTTGCATGACAGCTTCCCACCTCCAGAGCTTCATCTCCGGGCTCTAATTGATGCCTGTCACGATGCTCAGCTCCCCCAAGCCTGTAGCCAGAGCACAGGCTGGCAGCATGCGGGACATCCCACGGGTTGGCTTTTCCAGCCTTGAGCCCTGTCCCCTGGTGACACATCCTTTTTGGTCCCTTGGGAGAGGGAAGAGAGCCCAACTTCTCCAGCGCCGGCATTGTGAGGGGCTGCCTTTCCCGCCGGGAGGCGCTGCAGGAACTCCTGCCACCTCACCCTGCCCCTTGCCACTCCAAAGGAGTCCCACTCTGTGCCTCAGTTTCCCCACGTGTAACATCAAGGACAGCACTGGAAGCACTGTGCATACTGTTGCATTGGGGTTTGCTGCTGGCTTTGGAGGAGACAGCCTGTGGATCCTGCAGTCAGAGGTGTTCCCATCCCACGCCGTGGCAGGAGGTGCTGGGTGGCTCTGTGTGCTGCCATGAGGAGCAGGCCCGCAGCATCCACAGGAGGTGACAGGCTGCATCCATCTCTACAAATCCATAAATGCAGCTGGGCAGAGCCAGGATATTCTCTCTGCCTGTACAGCAGTGGCACATGGACCAGGCTGCTGGGGTTGTTGGATGGATGAGCAGGAGTGGTAAGAGCCTGTTCACAGCCAGACCCTTCCCCAGGCTGTGCCATAAATTTCCCCTTCCACGGACACAGCTGTGCTGCCTCACTCTGCATCCATGTCTGGCAGTGTGTAACTGAGTCCCCTTTACAGCCCCTGCCTGGTCCTTGGCTCTTCCCTCTCATGGCACAGTTGCAGGGCTCTGGCATGGGGAGAGCTGAGCCTGAAAGGGCAGCCAGGAGAAATCCAAAGCAAACAGGAGGGTGTTTAAAGTCTAAATGTGCTTGTTTTGCTTTGGAGGCAGGAGTTGGGGGGGAAGGCCACAGGAAAAAAAAGAACCTTTTTTTCCCCAAATGCTAAGTGGGAGGCCAGCAGCTGCCAGAGCATTTGCCTCCTTCCCCAGGCCTGCCAGGCAGCCTTGCCAGTGCCCACGGTGTTGGAGCTGCTCAGCACTGCTCCCGAGTGGTGCTGAGGAGACCCACAAGCAGGAGGGGAGAAGTGGGATGGCAGGACCCTCGGGTAGGTGACACTCCTGGCCATGCTCACCCAGGAGTCAGCTTCCATGCTCAGCCATGGCACTGGGTGCTCGTTTGTGGCTGTGCTCAGTTTGGGATACAGCTGTGCAGCCCCCCCAGAGGGGACTGGTGGTGCTGGGAGGATGCAGGAGCAGCTGGAGAGCATCCCCAGGACCACGGGCAGCGTGTGGGGTCACGGGCAGCCCTGTGCCCAAGCAGCTTCTGGGTGCTGCTCCGAGCAGCATTTTCAGCAGCATGTCTGGCAGCACTCCTGCCAGCACAGAGGGGTTTGAGGTTTTCCTGGCTTGTGTCTCCCCAGGAACCTTCCGAGGAGTCTGCAAGAAAATCGATCACTTCCCCGAGGATGCAGATTACGAGCAGGACACAGCCGAGTATCTCCTCCGTGAGTTTGCTTTCCTGGGGCACGTTGGAGCTGCACGTGCTCCCCAGGGAGCCCCACACTGTGCTGGCACCCCCTCTCCATTCCCCTGTGTTTCATCCAGCAAATCTCCCCACCGCTGGCAGGAGGCTGGTTGATCGCAGCCCCCAGGGTCCCCGCTCAGCAATAGTGACCCCTGGGTTCCTTGGCTCCATCAGGCCACAGGAGCAGCATTAATGGTGCTTTTGGCACCTGCTGTCCCTGTGACTGGTCCCAGCAGCTGCTGTGCAGCTCGTCACGCCACAAGGGTGGCTGGTGACCAGGACCCCACAGGTCCCTGGTGTGGAACCATGGGGGTGCTGTTTTGGAGCCAGTCTCTCTGTTATAAAATCCCAGACTGGTTTGGGTTGGGAGGGACCTTAAAGATCATCTGGTCCCACTCCCCCTGCCATGGGCAGGGACACCTCCCACCAGACCAGGTTCTTCCAAGCCCCATTCAACCTGCCCTTTAACACTTCCAGGGATGGGGCAGCCACAGCTTCTCTGGGCAACCTGTTGACCATGGGCAGCCTCTTGTTGGATCAGGACATTCATCCAGGTGTGGTGACCTCTGCAATTGCCCCTGCTGTTTGGATGGAGTGAGGTGCTGTTAACCTTGCTCAGTGCTCCTTGCATCTTAGTGGTTACTTTTCACATGGATTTCATCATGGATTTTCAATGAACACAATGAGCACTTCATAAATAGTTTTTAATGGAATCTGTTTGCAATTTTAATAGATTAGCATTTAAGTTCTTCTCCCACCCCCTCCCACACTTTAAATAAAGAGTCTATTTTTAAGCCCCCAAAATGGCATTTTAATGGGGTTTTGCTGTATTTCCGTGCTTTCAGTAAAGGCCCTGATAGAGGAATAAGAGCCCAAACCCAGGCACAGAGTATTTTCAGTGCAGCAAGTAGTGATTTGTGGCATTTATTACTCCTCACTCTTGTTTTAGAAGCTGAGTTTCTGATGGACCATATAGAAAAGCCCCTTCTTTGTGTATCATTGGATCAGTGACTCCTGAGCGTGCAGAGATGGGCCCTGCAGAGCTAATCCCTGTGTGGCTGGAGCCCAGCCAGGGTAACAGCATCACACCTGCTGGCCTTGGGGGGCTTTCTGTCCATTTTGGTGATCTCCCTTCCCTATGTCAGAAAACAACTTTTTGTTGAGTTTTGGCTGTGTTAGTTTGTAACTCCTGACTCCTGAAGCAGGTGGGATAGTTTATGGACCTGAGGGATGGGTTCCTGACCCTTAGGGTTGCAGCATCACTCCCTGCCAGCCTGGCGGGGTGGGGGGGTCTGCAGTCCCCAGGCTCCAGAGCCTCACCCCTACCCTAAACCCAGGGTGGTGTGGTTGGTAACAGGAGGGCAAATTAGTGGTGCTGCCTGTGTGGTGAGGCTGCAGGAAAGAATTCCTTGAAGTAGCCTAGCAGGAAAAAAGAAGAGACTCAGGGTTTAAGCTGGTTTTGTGACCCTGAACCGCAGGGTTTGCAGGGCTGATGCTGCAGGGCAAACTTGGAGCAGAACAGCTCAGGGATAGGCAGAGGATGCAGAGGGACCTGTGCTGGGTCTCCTGCACCCTTCAGGGCAGCACTTGAGGGTGCCACTGGCACCCCTCTCTGCGGGTGCTGCCGTTGGGGGGAGGTGCTGGCAGCCCCCACAGCAGCAGCGATGCTGGGGGCTCACCCTGTCCCCTCCTTGTCTTGCAGGTGCAGTGAGAGCATCCAGCATCTTCCCCATCCTCAGCGTGGGGCTGCTCTTCTTTGGGGGCCTGTGCGTGGCAGCCAGTGAGTTCTACAAGAGCAAACACAACGTCATCCTCAGCGCCGGCATCTTCTTCGTCTCTGCAGGTAGGAGCTGCCCGGCGGGGTCGGAGCAGGGGGATCTCCTGGTGGGGAGGACACTGGGGAGCTGGAGATGGGTTGTGGTTTCTTCTGGGCACAGAGGGATTCTGGGGTTTGTGAGCGGTCCTGACCCGGTGGAAAAATCCTCATTGCAGCAAAAAGCCAGGAGAGGTTTCTGGCAAGTTGTCACTGTGGTAGGCAGCACGTTTAGTGTTCACCTGGGGCAGGTTTTGGGGGCTGCCCAGCAGTGGGCTGTGGCACCAGGGAGGACTGGGAAGCAGGCAGAGGGGCTGCCACTGCCCTGCAAGGAAAATCACTCTCGAGGCCGTTCCCCCTGCATTACTCACTTCTCTGTGCACTGTTGCCCAGCGCTTCCACTGATTATTGTGTGACAATGTCTTTGTCTCAAGGAGCTGCTCCATTTTGTAGGGTTTGTTTTTTTTTCTTCTACCCACAAAGAGACAAATTGCTCTTCCTCCTTTGGCTGGCAGGAGCTGCTGATGCAGATGAGAAAACAACAGAAAGAACATAATCAATTCATTAAGTAAACCCAGGAATACATCAGCTGCTCCCCAGCCCCGTGGAGCTGCTGGTAGTGCAAAACCAGCCCAGATTCTGAATAAGGCTTCCAGGCTCCACCAGAAATGAAAATAGTTTGAGTCGTTCCCACTTCCCTGTGCTCCCAGGGCTACGGCAAGCAGGGGTTCATGCCAGAGGGATCCCTATTGATCCCTGCTCTGGCCTTGGCCCCTGGCTGATCTCCTGCAGTTGGTTGCTTAGTGAGCAGCTCAACAAAGCAAAACCAGCTCTTGAAATGTCCCTTTTCTGAACAAAATCTTTCCTGCCTCTTCAATAGAAGTGAACTGGGTGTGTGTGGGTATAGTTGGGACAGCAGCTGAGGTCTGTGAGGGGTTTGGCCCTGGGGTGCTGGTGGGTGGGTGGGTGCTCCATGGGGATGCAGCCGTGGCTCCTGGCACTCTCTCCATGGGTCTTGGTGGCAGAAAGACCTAGCTCCTCGTGCTAGGAGGGGACTGGGGGCTGCCCTTCCCTGTCCCTCTCCCATTGCCAAGGGAGCCCCTCTTCCTCTCCCTCTCGTCCTCCCCTGAAGGTCTCAGCAACATCATCGGGATTATAGTGTACATCTCAGCCAACGCGGGGGACCCGGGGCAGAGCGACTCCAAGAAGAGCTACTCCTACGGCTGGTCCTTCTACTTCGGAGCCTTGTCCTTCATCATCGCCGAGATGGTGGGGGTGATCGCCGTGCACATGTACATCGAGAAGCACCGTCAGATCCGCGCCAAGTCGCACTCGGAGCTGCTGAAGAGATCGGCCTTCACCCGCCTCCCCCCGTACAGGTACCGCTTCCGCCGGCGGTCCAGCTCCCGCTCCACCGAGCCCCGCTCCCGGGACCTGTCGCCCGTCAGCAAGGGGTTCAGCACCATCCCCTCCACCGACATCTCCATGTTCACCCTCTCCAGGGATCCCTCCAAGGTCACCATGGGGACGCTGCTCAACTCGGAGCGGGACCACGGTTTTTTACAGGTCCATAACTCCATCCCCAAAGAGTTCAAGGAGTCTTTGCACAACAACCCGGCCAACAGACGAACCACGCCGGTCTGAGGGGGCAGGGGCGTGTTGGGGGCTGCATGACATCATCCTCGTGACGGTGTAACCCGTGAAATCCCATTTTTAAGGACAAAGCCAGGTGGCTCCCGGTGCCCCTACCCGTGAGGCTGGTTTGTCACCCCCAAAATGCCACCCGTCAGGCCAGGGCCCACAGTGGGATCGGGACCCTTGGCACGGAGGGGCTGGGGGCTGCTCTGGGATGGGACCCTGGCCGTGGTGCCCTGTGGACTGAGCGGGGCTTCCATCACCACCTGACGGTGGCTTCTCGAGGTCTCCATCGTTAATGTTGATCATAACCACAGTGTTCCCGTAGCTGTATGTCCCATGGAAGTGCTGGCCATAGCCCTGTCTGTGAGAATCCTTAACCTGGTAGTTACATTTAAGCGAAATTGCCTAGAAATCTGGCGTTTGAAGCGCTGAGTCGGGGCCATAGCCAGTGCTGGTGTTACCAACCCCCTTCCCTCTCGTGGTGGATGGAGTGCTCGGGCTGGGTTTCTCCGTGGCATTTCGTGCATGCATTAAATAGCTTGGAATTCAATTTTGTCATGTCGGGTTGGAAGAAACATCCTTTTGCAATTTTCTGTGGTCTTGAAAGGGCTTCTTTCTTTCCTTCTTCCTTTCCTTTTTTCTTCCTTTGGTGCATTTGGGCCATGAAAGGACTCAGGAGCAGAATTCCTCCAATGACTGGTAGCAGTTAGCCAGTGTTTAGTTAACCCCTAATGTTGCAAGAAAATGAATTAATTCCCTAAAATTAATACACGCCCAGTCACAAATCATTGTCTGGGCACAACCAAGGAGGCAACACTTGGGCTGGTGGTTCTGAAGCTGGGCTGGTGGTTCTGAAGCTGGGCTGGTGGCCAGGCCACGGGCTGCATGCGGGTGGTGTGTGATTATGTAATGCTGGGAGAGCAGTGAGAAAACAATAAAATCGTCCAGTTTGGTAAGGAGGTGACTTGGCTGAGGAGGTGGCACTGAGCCTGCTGCAGGCCCTGTCCCACTGGAGTTTGATGGCAGCTTTGACCTCTGCTGCAGGGTGCCAAGGTTGGAGCTCCCTGGCTACAGGGGATCTGGAGGAGCAGCCCCCCATGGCCCTGACCCTGCTCTCCTACCCTGAGGGGGTGCAGGGGGTGAGGTGGGTGTGCATGGCTGCCCTTGGCCAGTCCCTTCTGCCAGGGCTGCCCTCAGCTGTGTCTGGGCCCTTCATCTCTCTTTCCATTTATTTGCTACTACTGCAAAGGGAGTTTGCATGGGAAGACCAATTCAGATGCTAATTAGGCCTCTTAATTGCTGATTGCATGTATTAAAAAGTGTGGAGGCAGGGTAGCTGCCTCCTCTGATCTTGGGGAAGTATTTAAAAGCAAAGTGGCAAAAGGACCAGCGGTGTCAAGGACAGGGTGACCTGTTCAGTCTTCCCTGGCGCGTGGGTGGCAGCTCCTGCTCTGCTCCCTCCCACTGCCCCTTTCCTAGGGCTTGGGTCCTGCCAGAACCACCTCTGAGCAGATGTGGAGTTTGCTTGAGTAATGTGGCAACACACCCCAGATCTGAAATTAAATCCCTACAATCTTGCCAGGGAGGCTGTGGGCTCAGCCAGAGCAAGGGGATCCTGGTGTGGGACCAGCAGTTCCCAGCCAGGCTGAGGAGAAGGAGAGATGCTCAGAGAGGGAATTCTGATGGGCTGGCTGCTGGGATGGATGCCCATGGAGCAGCACTTTTAAGCAGCTCATTAGAGCCTCTGATGGTGAAACAATCAGACCTTCCTTTACCATCCCACCATGCTGGCAGTGTTGGCTGCAGCAGTGCCCACCCCATGGGTTACGGTGCCATGGGCAGGAGCCTTGTTCTGGGGGGGTTGTGGTGTCATGGGCAGGAGCTTTGCTCCAGCTGCACCAACACTGCCCAGAGCATCACCAAGCTTTAGATTTTATACACACACACTTTGTGGCTTAAAAAAAAAGATGTAAATTTTTTTTCAGAGTTGAATCTCCAACGCCCTCATGATACATTTCTTGTTATGTGTCAGCAAACTGAAGCATCTGTTTGTCAGGGGCCAGATGCTGCTCTGCCACGTCCTGTGCATATGTGGGACACTCAGTGCCTTGGGGTGTCATTAAAGCCACATTTGGGGCAATTTGTGGTACCAGTGTTTTTCTTGAGGGCCAGTGAGGCAGGAGATCAGTTGGGAAAGGATTTTGCCTCATTTCAAAGAGAGGATTGATTTTCTGAAGTTAACCAAGTTATCCTCTAAGTAATTGAAAAGAAGCAGGAGGTGCCCCAGGCTGTGTGCTGGTGCCGTGCTGGGTGCCACAAGGCAGGCAGGTACCAGGGAGCCAGACACCAGACGGTTTGCTCTTAATTGAGGCTGAATTTATGACCTTGGATTGTTTTAAGACAGCGGAGCTCCTGCCACTGCTCCATTAGACCCACTGCCCTTTGATTCCAGCCTTCATAACTGGTCTCACTCCTGCAGCCAGCTCCTTGCAGGAGTGGTGCTGAGGAGCAGCTCTGGTGCTGGGCAGGGGAGTGGGGAGAAAACCCACAGAGCTGCTGCATCCATGGGGCCTTTGGAGCTGGGCTGCCTGTGCAGAGTGAATAGAATAGAATAGGATTACAGTTGGAAGGGATCTGCAATGGTCACCTAGTCCCTGCCTATCTACTTCAGGGCTGACCAGAAGTTAAAGGCATTATCCAAATGCCTCTTCAAAACTGCCAGGCTTGGGGCACCCACCACTTCCCCACCCTCCAGTACAGAAATGCTTTCTTGTGTCCAGTCTGAACCTCCCCTGAGGCAGTTTTGTGGGGGCAGCAGAGGCTGGGGCCTGGCAGCCCCGTGATCCCTGGGCAGCTGCAGCCTGAAACCCTCATGTTGCAGGGCTGGGGCTGGTCTGTGGAGGGAGAGCAGGTGGGCAGTGATAGAAGGTGTTTACTGCCACGTGTAATATCTTTCCTTCATGCCAATGTCTTTCCCCTGGAAGAGAAAATCAATACCCAGGCTAAATCTGGAGGCTTCAATATTTTTCAGAGAAGTGCAAATCAATATGGATTTCTTAACAAGTTTAATTTCAATACCTGAAAGTGCACGTTCTGCCTATTTCCTGACCTTTCTAATCCTTTGGGGAGGAAGATTAAAAAGATTTGTTCAAATTCAAGGAATTGAGTCAGCAAATGCCCCATTACCTTGTTTACTTTCTGGCAGACTTCAATAAACAGTATGAGAGCCATTGTCACCGCGCGGCTCCCGGCGCCGTTCCCGACACCAGCCGTGCCATCCCATGCTGGCCCATGAGCGAGGGCCAGCCAAGGCACAGATCTGCATTCTGATGCCCGTAGCCACCTCCGTCGTGGGCAGCACAGCCCAGGGTAGCAGTGAAGGGTCCAGGTGCCATGGTTTTAGTGCCTGTGTTAGTGCTGTAACAGGCAGAAGCCCAACGTCCAACTGCCTGCAGATGCTGGCACTTCCACAAAGAGCGCAGAGGGGAGGTGTCAGCTCGGTCATGGCTGCAGCAGGTAGCTTTTCTTTTCACCCTTTTTTCCCCCAAGACCAAGCCTACCTCAGGATAAATGGACAAACTTCACCCTAGTTTGCTGCAAGGGAAGCTCTGAGCTCCTGCAGAGCAGCTGCTTCTTTTGGCTGCCCCTTTCTTGACTTTGTCCTTTGCCCTTTCCTGCTTTGATTTGTTGGGGTAGTTTTACAGTTTGCAATAGCTCATGAAAGCCTAGGTAAGTCCAAGCAATTTATATCACATGTTTATTATTTACTTGATGGACAGTAATGGCTTCTGTGGTGCCATTACTATATGTCATCTAAATCCAAATGCTGAGATGCTTTAAAGGGCAGCCTATCATTCAAGGGCTGGAATAGCTTCTCCAGCATCATTATTGTCCTCCATGAGTGTCTGTGCACTCATAAATCTTTGGCTGACCACAGCCACTAACCCACCTCTTTAAAGTTACCAGAAAATTTTCAACAAATAGGACTTCACCTGCTTGCACAGTAAAGTCTCTTTGCTAATAAACTCTGATCCCTCTGTCGTTAACCTCGCTCCAGTCACTGGAAGAGAAAAACCTGAGTTGCTTTAGGGAAGGTCAGTAGGAGCTGGAGGGTGTTCTAGAGGGCAGGGGATGGGGGCTGCATGTCTAGAGCTGCCCTGGAGGTAGAGGAACTCCCCTGGTGCTTTCTGAGGGATACCCTGGGAGTGCCATGGGAACCAGTGATGCAGGTAAGTGCAATTAGAAATTAATTCTTGTTGGTTCTCATTGCCACAGACTGCATTGTAGGAGTGAGGAAGGAGAGAAATTTGTATTATATATAGTAGAGATGATCTGATTTGCAAAGATTGTGTCTAAATGAAGGGAGGATCCAATTTACCAGTAACTGAAGTGAGTGGAAGACTTGGTGTCCTGGCTCACAGGAACCTCCTCCCCAGGGAGCACCTTTCTGCTCTCTCCTTACCCATTTGCAGTGGGTTGTGGGTCTGCTATTAAACACTTTCTTTCCATCCTCTTTGGTTTCCTTAGTGCCTCTCATTCCTTCCAGCCTCATTAGCATTCCCACCACTCTCCCAGCACTGGCTGTCTCCTGTGCCACGGTTGGCTGGGGCAGTGATGGCTGCTGCGCCTGGGAGAGCCAGACCCTGCACGGGCAGCCACCACCAGCCCTATGTGTCCCCTTGCCTGGACACCCACCTGCTGAGGGATGAATGAGCACGTCCCTCTCTTCCCTGGGGACAAATTCCCCAGGGGATATAACATCTCTAGAAGGAGCCTGAGGATCTGGAGCCCTGTGGTGTTGGATCTGGACCTGAGCAGCTTCAGCGGGTGTGTGGGGATGGAGCTGGCCATTTGCAGGGGGGGAGCAGCCCAGGGCTACAGCAAGAGGTGACAAGGTGCCACCTCCTGTGATGACAGATGCCTGTGCTGGCACTGTTGGCTGCGATGGGAGAGGTGGCAATGGCTGCTGCTCAGTGGATACATCAAGGACAGTGGGCTGGGCTGTGGGACCGAGCACCTGGCAAGGTGGGGCAGGGCCAGAGTGGGGACAGTGCTGGAAAGCCCTGGCAGGGGTGGCAGATCCTGTGTCTGCAGCTGGCAGGGGAGGGCCTGTCCTGCTGGCCCGTTAGTGCAGGGCTGGGGACAGCAGAGGCACATGGGGACAAGGCAGCAAAGGCCCT